GTTGTTCGAAAAATCAAATTAATATTTTTTTTGAGTTGATGAAAACATATTGCCTACTTTTTCTTTTTAATTGTTTTCTCATACACATCGTATTTTTGATTGATGAAAATCGGTACAGATATGTTCAAAGTGATCCTCAATAATAATGTGTCATTAATTCTTCTCAAAAATACTACAATACATACTACATTTTCTGATTACCTATTGAAAAAAAACATAATTCGTTTCTTCGGACACCCTGTGTTTTATGATGATAAAAATCAGTCAAGGTGTTTTTCAAGTGATCGTGATTCAGAATCCATCATTGTTTTTTGTGAAAAAAAAATCCCTAATAGTACTTTCTCAAATTTGGGTCAATAAAGTTGGTCGCAGTTGGCCACGATTACAGTTCATGAGTAAAATCACTCTCCTGTTGGATGGACATTTCAAATACCTATCCAACAAAAAAAAGTTTTTTGAAATCGGTCAGATAATAACAATTTTACAGGGGTGGTAAGTCCTTAAGGTGGACACACTGTATATACACTGTTGATGGCTTTTGTTGTGCTATAGTTCCGAAAAATGAGTCAATAATACCGTCTCCGAGATAGAACTGCTAGTCCTTTTATATTCCATTCGACTTCGCGGTTTCGTATATTACTATAGACAACCACTAAATTCGCAATTTTTTGAAATCAAATCACAGAATTAGACTGACAGAAGTGACATCAGATATTTGATTACTTCAAAAGAATGATGAAGATGCCTACAACGCAGGTGTCCCTACTGCTAAAAACTTATAATTTCACGTCGATAATTTTCAGATTTCAAAATAATGTGATATCTTTTCAATATTGATTCGTCCTTTCTTTTGCTACGCGTCGGGAGACAACACAACCTGGAGCTAAAATCTACTACTTTTTTCCCTTGTATAATAAATAACTATTGCTGAAGAGAAAACGAGGTGGAGAATTAATTGGTCTTGATTTTTTAAGATTCCTCGAGATTCTTTCAATCCATTTTACACAATTGCTTTCCTCCTACATATAATTCAAAGTGTTTTCTCCTATTCCGAGCTAATTACCTCCTTTACCTCCTGGATACGCCACTGTTCAGGCAATATTCCAGAAATTCCGACGCTGTCTGGGATGAAGCGAGGTATCACTGTGAGTTAATTTTTCAAAATGTTATTGCCCTTTCAGCATTCTCTATTTTCGAGGGTGCAACATCAGAAGGGCAAGAGCCGGATTACTCGAAACAACCCTTGCCCTCTCGAATCGGTCGGTCAATAATGATCTGGGCATGCCATGAATAATAAACGAACGCGTATATATACAGGGTGGTCCAGGTTAAAGGTCACTAATTTTGATAGGCCATAGTACAACGGGAAAAAGTAAACTTTCATGAAAAAACTGTGGTCGAAAATGCTTCCTAACAAAGATACAAGGTGCCAGAATCTTGACACTCCAATCCATCAAAATCAACACTGTATTGTGCTATTGTGTACTTCATAAAGATTATTGGAAGCCATACTATTTCCACAGCCTCTAAAGATCCTCATAAGTTTTATCCTCTTTGCAACCCTTCAAATTCAACTAAGTATCCCAAAAAATGTAGACATAAATCAAAAATTTGTACAGCTACTTTTATTATTTCAATTGAACATTGAATTCAAAAAAGACTGAATCGATTTATCGATAAGTGACACATCAAATATTCTTTCAGAAAAAACTATGTTTCTCTGTTATGTGCGACTCATTGTTAATAGCTTTGACAACATTTCATTTATACACGAGGTAAAATAAAAAAACAATTTGAATTAGTTTTTTTTTTTTCGAGAAATTGTCATTTGACATACAGAATATTGTACTTGTTTTGACCTGTTGAATTCGAATATGTGAAGATATACAGGGTGTTCCATTTGAAAAAACAAAGTTGCTGGCTTTTCCAGAAAAACCGGAAGTCCACCATATTGGATTGTAATATGGTCAAATCTGCAATAGTTGCTTATATAACTATACCAAATTCCAGAAAAGGGTGGCCGTATACCCCTATACCTCTGGTCATTGACCGTGCGAGAGGGAATGTGTGTTCTGTGTAGGCTCTGTTACTGACTCCATACGCTACCTTAGGTGCAGCTCTGTTAATTGGAATGCAATAGCAAATCTTGCGGAATAATCTCCGGCTGAGCTACGAAACTTAGAATTCATAGGTAACTCCTTTCATAGATTAAAATTCTCAGCTCTTAACTAAAATAAATATGTGAAGTAACCACCAATGTGACTTACCTGACAGATTATTTTAATAACTTTACCATGATAATATAGGAATGTAGATAGAAGCAAGACCTCATACTACTTTACATTAGATTATTGGTAGAAGATGTCTTTACTTTGTTACAATTTTTGTTGACATGCATCATCAGATACTACAGCCACGAATTCAATACTATACTCGAAACGTGGATGCCGTGCCATATGTATGCAATTCAACGAATAATCCGTGTGGTGACAATATAGGAAAAAGAAGTGAAAAATGTTAGGTTAGTGAGCATATCAACAATATATAATAATAGCGATTATTTATTTTATCCATATTCCACTGTGTTTGGCTTGGTAATCAAACTAAGATAAACAATTTCGTTGAGTGAGACAAAAAAGTATTGCTAGCCGTGATTATTCAAAAACAAGTTATCCCATCAATATAAAAACGCATTCATATCCAGCGGCAAATCTGCCGAAATCGGGAACAAATCAGGTATGCGTGACAACCCAAATAACCAACCATAAATAACAATGTTGTTTATTCTTGATGACTCAGTATATCCTTTTTAGTTCCTAGGAGCTAAAGTTCAACCCCAGCTCCTAGGAACTAAAAGTGTTGCCTAGCAACCTACCTATGATTGTGTCAGTAATAGAAACGTCAATTCAAGAGCTAATTTTGGTATCAAAATGGAGAACTTGTGTGTCGGTTGCAGAACAATAATATTTCTGGAGTTCCCATTCGTATTTCAACATGGCAACTGTGTTATGGTCTACCATTACTCACGAAATCGTGACGTCAGTGTTTATTTGCGGTAAATATGCTATTCTATGAAAAAATAAATGAATAGTCCACTTGTCTATTATATTTTGACTAAGTAATCCTTGTTGTCTTGGGTGATATCCTCATCTCTCTTTCGTTTTCAATCTTCCTATCGGCCTTCCTTTTCCAACTTCTCTTTTCCTCTTCCTCTTCAAGCCCAACCTCACCATCAAGTGGTGTGGGGAAGGCAGGCCGCGGCCGCTTGACGGATGAAGCATTTTGGGACCATCTTTGCTATCTTCTGCCAGATGGGACAATTTGTGGACATCTGTGGCAGGGATGGGGCGATTTGCTGATGTCTGTCTAGGTGGTCGAGGACTGGTCAACGAGGCTCTGGCAACCTAATCCAAGCTGTGGGAACCCGTGGCGATGGATGGATGGCACCGAGGAATGGTGTAGCTAACGGGGCCTCTGGGAAACAGGGCGACATCCCAGAGTAAACAGCCTTAGCCCTGTGCAGGGGGCACCACAGGGCTGGACCAACCCCTTCCCCCGTCACTCGTAGGAGAAGGAAAGCTTCTGGCCTTCTTCGTAGACGAGAACAGGGATCGGAATAGCAATCTTCAGGGACCTGAACGAGAAGGGTCTTTCATATTGAAGTGGCCCTTAGTAGGCACCATGAGTCGTATGTGGTAAAATTGATAACGGCATGTAGGTGAGATTCAATGGGCCACTAGGCCTATGTGTCGTCGGAGACATCGGTCAGACGAGCCTACAACGGGGTGGAGTGTTTAGTGGGTATACCATAGAGGGGACTCCCACACTATCATATGGGGGATTGGACCCATATGATGTCTATAAAAGATTTCAACCACCTCGGCGAAAAAAAAATAAAATCCTTGTTGATTCTATCGACGTAACAATATGACACTGCCTGTGCCTATTCCGTTTGGGATTATCCCTGTTTATTTTCAAGTGTTCCACCCCTGTACCTTGCATCCAGAGTACTCTGACCCGGCTAGACTGGAATGGGGTGCTTCGTGAATGTGTATAAATTCAGCCTTCCGTTTCTGATTCCGTTCTATGCCATGTGGTTTATATCATCACACCCTATACTGAAACGAATGAAATTCATTCGATACTTTGACGGTTCGATCTCGTTAATAATTCAAATGATGCTTTCACAAAGTGTGTCCCAGAACAGTGTGGAATGCATAATAAATAAAAAAATAGCTATTGATGATGTTAGTCAACTACGTAAAAGCCAAAATGTTCAAAGTGGAATGAAATGTCGAATAAATATGCAAAGCTCAAAGTCATTACCACAAAAGTTCATAGATGAACGAAACTGGTATAGATAACGAGAGAAAAACAACTACTTTTCTGGCTATATGCTACGCCAGAACATTGAATATTACCCTCCCGAAATTTATGCAACGATTCGTATAGACGTGTTTCCTGCCTAAATACTGAGTTGTGACTACCTACAGACCGGTTTCGGCCATCATCAGTACAGGGGTGTGTCCCCAGATGGCATTCATGACCGCCCTACAAAATTTAACCACAATGTAGCCAGTTGTTTCAACATAATCGTAAAAAATGTGTAAAAAAAAATATTGTTTCAACACCTTGTATCTTGAAAACGGATGGCGTCACGACATTTTTTTAACTGAGCAAACCCAACTTATTTTGCAATGTTCTATCTACCCTAGCAAGGGGGTTAGGTTTTTTTGAAACACGCTGATAGCGATTATAGACAGTTTTGAAAAGTATCAAGTCCAATGTCTGATCCGGGGTAAACAATACTTCGAGGACTTGGTACTCCGTCCATCATATTATGTCCATTTGGTGGACTTAATTTTATGTGCCCCGTTTTGGTTCACATTGTTTTTACAGTTTTTTTCTTGTTTGGAATAGTCATCATCTCTTTCCTTCTATCAGTATCGTTCACATCGTATTATTTGAGCAGTCGAGTTCGGTGTGATTCCTTTGTAAACATGAGTTCGAAAATACAAATAATTCTACAACGTGCTAAAGAGATTAATTGTACTATTGGAAATGGTGAGTGACATGATTTTTCTTCGATTTTATAGTGCCAAAAGTTCAATTATATGTGAGTTTGTCTCTCAATACAGAGTCGAATAGTAGTGTGATTGTCAATTTTTTTCAAGGATTGTCCAAAGATTTTGAGTATCCTGAGAATCAGATCTTGGTTGGGAGCCCGGCCAACATCGTCAGTCCCATTCTTGATGATTTTTCCAATATCCATTGAACTGAATTCGGACAATTTCAACATAATTATTGTTTTTTTTTAGGAATAAATCATGAGGATGTTCTTGCTGGGACAAGCCATGATTTGACTCAACTAGTTAATGTCGATTTATCAAATGAATAGCATGAAAACATCAGATTTCAAGAATTTTAAATCAATTATCGAAGGCGAATATGCTCCGTTCATCTAAAAAAAAGGCTGAGAGTGGTAAAACTTTCAAAATATCCGAGTTAGTCGAAATTCAGGTGCGCAAGGAAGAAATGGGCAATAGTTATTTGTTTAACTAGGCAGCAAAGTAGTAGATTGACTGCCGTGGCTGAATTCATAGCCGAGCGTAGCGAGGCTAGGAATCCAGCTAAGGCAGTCATAGTCAATCTACTTTGCTGCCGAGTTGAACATATAATTTTTTCTCCGATTGTTCATAATGATTTGGGAGAATATTGTATTTGCGAATTAATACAATTCCCACAATCTCTTTATTCTACCTGTATATAGTGTTAAATTAAAATAAAATTTGATAGAAATCGCAGTTGTTGGTTTGACAATTCATGAAATTTCTGACTGTTGTGCGAAAAAATATCGGTATATTTAAATTATTATATAACGGACAGTGATAGCGACCTGGAAGTATACTTACACCTCCATTAATAAGGGAGGTGGCAAAAAATATAGAGTTGAAAATTTGTTGCCGGAGAATATGAAGGAAATTATAAACGGTTTATGGATTTTTAATTTTGCTGATACATATCAATCAGCAAAGTAACCACTTTGCTGCCTAGGCAGGAAAAGTAATAGTTTGCTGATTGATATGTGTCAGCAAAATTAATATTTGCTGCCAGTCGGAGGAAAATTATTTTACATGACGAATTGTAGTACAGAATTCGATATTATCGACTTTTGTCGCACTTCACGTAACGCACAATTTCCAGAAGAAATACCATTGATCCCGGCAACTAGTTCAATTCGTTTTACAAAAATCTTCTTCAGGCAGATGCATTTGAAGATGATGAATGGAAATCTGAATGATTATCTTCACATCTCTTTTTTTTTTCAGGATATCTTCAATTTCCGTTGAATTTGTTATCGTTGAAGTTATTTGAATCATTTTCGAGTTTTATGTTTCGATGAAAAAGTACTAAGTCACATATTTTCACAAATTCATTGGATGGTAGACTGTATTAAGTCCCGAAAAATCATTGGAACGCATTTTATTTTTTCAAAAAGTCCAAGTACTTATGTAGATATCAACATTTTGAACGTTTTAATGAAATTCCATGATGATCGGTTATTTAATTGAATAGAATGTGACTCAACTTGTTTCGCTTCTCCTGGAAAACATACTTTATGTATACCCTGTATATCGTTTTATTTCGAGTGGATCTCGAGCTAGTGGAAAACGAACTTGTTTTCCTTTTGTATATATTTTTTTCTGAAGTATTCCCGAGCCTCTTTATTCTTTAATAATGTCTAGACTGGAGGAGGGATAACAATTCTGGTGATGTCGCGTTTAGGAGTTTTTTTTTGTTTTCTCAATTGGGATGGATAAAATTCGATGTTTTCGTGTTCAGTGGGAGATTTAATATAAAGAGTGGAAACAACATTCAGAACGGTCCTATCCTAGGAGAATTCAAAATAAATAATGAATGAATGAAAAATGTTATACAAGTTGGTAGTTATAATTACCGATATTCATCATATTATTTATTCAATCTATCACGCTATGGAGTTCGATTTTTGGATAAATAGTGTTGATGAAGTTGAAAATCGAAAGTTTTTTTTCAATAAATGAACATGGTATATTTTCGGAGTGCATAAAAATTACCGATAATTTTGCAAGAAAGTTTGTTATCTAAAAATTGCTAGAACTTATTTTCAAATTTTGGCGAAAGAGCCTGAGTCCGAAAGAGGAGCTAGGCACTTTTACAAAATATGGAAATAAAAGAATGCAATTTTTATAAGATAACACGCTTGAAGGCAAAATTGTCTGGTCATTTTTATGCACGAATGTAATTCGTTGGAATATTTCACGAAGTAAGGAATTCTGTCTGTTGGATTTGGTATTTCATGGTTCACTTTCATTTATACTTTTCCATCTGACATTTATATTGTTTTCTGGCGTCTAGCGACATGGCTTTATAAATGTGTTGTTATGGCGACGGGATCTCTTCGCAGTGCAATTTTCGCTCTGCAGTGCAATTACCGATGTATGAGGGAAATATTCGCGATAATTCCACATAATCAGAGATGTTGTTTTATTTTGAAGACAGCTCGGCGTTTAGGAAGGAAAACTTGCGATGTTATTCGTCTATACGGATTATTGCATAGATTTCGGGAGGATGTAATCCAATCCAATGTTCTGCGTGGCATATAGCCAGGAAAGTAGTTGTTTTTCTCTCGTTATCTACCATTTTTGTTCATTTTATGAACTTTTGTGGTAATGACTGAGTTTCTCTCTCTTTGTGACCATCGCATTCCACGAATTGGCTTTTAAACCTAGTTGACAATTTAATTTATGTATACAAAATCTCATAAGCCTTACCACCGACAAAACGGAACCTAACATTTGAAACCATTGAAAACCAAAACTGTAAATGGATCTTTGAGACTTTTAGTTCATTTTTTCACAACCTCGCGTTGTCAGAATAGTATTCAATCTGTGAAAATGTTGCTATTTAGACAGTCTTCAAGTGGAGAAATTGAAATAAATAACTATCAACGATGAAGTGATTTACGTATTCATTCAATTATCTTACAGAATTATACTCAAGCATTCTTTTTTCACATTTCCTCGTCTTCGACTCGAATAATTTTCAAAATATCCATGAGCTCGAAAAAATGTCCGGAAGTAATTCGATATTACAAGTGAATATATCAATATAAATACTGTCAGTAGGTTAATCGAGGAGGTGGTACATTCATTGTTCCAGATTTTTTGGGATTTTCTCTCCTCGTTTCCATAAAATAAAAATATGAATATTATTTCAATATACGTGTAGTAAGGACAAATCAGATGATTTGCCCCAAAATGTCACTGCGTTTGAAGAATTTTCCTATCAGTGAGCCTAAAAGAAAAATTCACTAGCTTGTCAGTGACAATTTGTATTGAAAAAGGTTTGGAGAAGAGAAATAAAGGTATATAGAAAAAATATCAAATTTTTCACTTCGCTTTGGACGTTTCGGGAACGAATATGCCCCCGTTTTCAACATAAAAATGTTTATTTGAATAGCAAATTCGTATCTGTCTTGAAACTTTTCAGTTCTCAGTGACAATTGGGGACGTTGGCAATCAATTGAGTTACAGGATGTTTTCATTAATTAATCTCGAATTTACCAGAAGAGAAAAATCATGGAATCTGTTTGGATTCTTCTGAACGGAGACTATAGCATTGCTTCTTGTTCAGTTGATATAGACAGAACATGGTATTCACTACTGAAATCAGAAAATGCAAATGATAAATTCAAGATTGATTAATGAATACATCCTGTAACTCAATTGATTGCCAACGTCACCAATTGTCACTGAGAACTGAAGAGTTACAAGACAGATACGAATGTGCTATTCTGATAACCATTTTTTATGATGAAAACGGGAGCAGATTCGTTCCCGAAACGTCCAAAGCTAAGTGAAAATTTGATATTTCCTCTATATACCTTCATTTCTCTTCTCCAAACCTTTTTCAATACAAATTGTCACTGACAAGCAAGTGAATTTTTGTTTTAGGCTCTCTGATAGGAAAATTCTTTTTCTACTCACATAACTAAAATGGCATTTAGCGTACGGATATGTATCACGCTAAATGATCGAATAATCACGGATTGACGATCTTTGATTTATTCAAAATATTAAACACGTTACTATGGCAACAGGATTTCTTAAACACATTACCATGGCAACACAGTTCAGTAAACACAGCATCAGCAATTTGAGACATGTCTGGCCTGTCAATTGTACGAACTGTCAACTATCATTTTCGAATTTTATATCAGAACTATTCAAACAAATTTCGTTTGTATCAGAATTCATCGTTGAAAATTTATGCGAAATGTGGACGAAAGTGAAATCGAAGAGAATGTTTTGGTACTTGCATATCTCCAAGAAGTGTAGAAATGAAGCATCCATCTTTGAGAACAATTCATTTATTCTGCGCTAAGCATGACAATAAACGTGAAACAAAGGTTAGTAAGCAATGGACTGGACACATCTACAACCAATATTACTTATACGTGTCTCGCTGGTTGCATGCAGTTGCATGTATTATGTTCTCCATTCCCATTCCTTTCGAATTATTTTGTAGGTTAGCAGGAATAGCAGGTATGTTAATGTAATTTTTGGAGTTCGTAGAAAAAGCATAGTATGTAACGCGTTTATAAACTCTTCTAGACACTCGTTTATTAAACACTCGTTACTAAAAGGACGTTTATAACACTTGTTACATAATATACTATTTAACGCAGTGACATTTTGGGGCGAATCATGATTCGTCCTTACTACACGTATATTGAAATAATATTCATATTTTTATTATACAGGGTGTTTCATTGGAAAAGGTAAATAATTCAACTGTGGATAGGGGGTCACTGGAGTGATTTCAAAAAACCCATGGTTGATGGGTCTTCGACTTCTTATAACCGAGATACAGGATGTTTCATCAATTTTGTCCTTATCTTCATTGTCTCATAACTTTCCAACCAACCTGTATATATTTTTCACAACTGGTACACCTGCTCAATCTATCCTGTGGAATTGATTGAGACAACAACAAAAGATAAAATCCAGGTCCGGCTTCACTTAAAATTCACAAATTCTTCCTGCCAGAAAACAACACCCTATACATTCGAATTTCTCATTTTTTCTGCCATATCTGAAAAGAACATCAAAATTTCTATTCAATGATGTGCTTTTTATTTGTGCACAGATAATTTTAACTATTGATATTATGTTCTCAAAATATTATTTTTGTTCATTTTGGGGTACAAAATTGGAATCAGACGAGATTTATTAATTTTATTACTTCCTATTCAGTATACGTGAGTATTACATTTAGTAGGAGTATTTCATATCGTTCTTTGTTCCAGACTTTTAGTTGCAGGTCCGTCATCAAAACTGTACAGGGCTTTTCACGATAAGCGTTAATTAGATATTTCTGGCAAACCAGGCAACGGATGAATCTAAAAATTCGATGGTATGTATAAAGCAACATGATCTACACATCTGAAATATTTGCCGCTTCTACTAGAAAGTAGCAGCATCTTCGATTTTTCAAATGGGACACCCTGTATTTCATTACATTCTTGGATTCTTGCTGAACTGCAGAATTCATCGATTCAAAACATTCAAGGTCTAGCGGGACTGATAACTGAGATATTGGATGTGGAAAATCGAGATGTTTCAACTTTAGAAATGTTTTGTGTTGAAACTATTTATTATTGCATGGTCAAAACGGCTTCAATTTCCCTATCTCAACTTTCCATTCGATATTCAATTGAAACAGATACAGGGTGGTGCAGAAATCTGAATTATGAACCATCCTGTATTTGTTTCGATAAAATGTCAATAGATACAACGTTAAGATAGGAACATAAAAGCCGTTTTGATCAATAATAAATATTTTCGCAAAATAATTCTAAAGTTGAAACATCTCGATTTTTCTCACTCTAAATATCTGAGTTATTAGTCCCACTAAACCCCGAACTTTGTGAATCGATTAAATCAGCTCTTCAGGAAGCATCCACTACTTTCGAGTAGAAGCGGCAAGGCCGGATCGTTTCAAATATTTCAGTAGTGTAGATTATGTTAATTTATACATACCTTCGAATTTTCAGATTTATCCGTTGCCTGGTTTGCCAGAAACATCTAATTAACGCTCATCGTGAAACGCCCTGTAAAGTTTTGATGACGGAACTGCAACTAAGTCTGTAACAAAGAACGATATGAAATACTCCTTCTGAATGTTATACTCACGTATACTGAATACTCTGAATAGGAAGTAATAAAATTAATAAATCTCGTCTGATTCCAATTTTGTACCCCAAAATGAGCAAAAATAATATTTTGAGCACATAATTTGAATAGTTAAAATCGTCTGTGCACGAATAAAAAGCACATCGTTGAATAGAAATTTTGATGTTCTTTTCAGATATGGCAAAAAAAATGAGACCCATCAACCATGGGTTTTTTGAAATCACCCCAGTGACCCCTATCCACAGTTGAATTATTTACCTTCCCCAATGAAACACCCTGTATAGAAACGAGGAGAGAAAATCCCAAAAAATCTGGAATAATGAATATATCAATATACCTTAAATCGACGCCTCATTAGCAGCGTCGCTGGCGCCTTACCCTCTCATGTAGCGCCGTTAAGGGCGTCGCTCGCCACGTGACGTCATCCATTGACGCCGCTGCCGCCGTGACGCTAGGCTACGACGCCAGACGGCGGCTATCGACCCGCCGCCGTGCTTCTATCTCTCTCTCTCCTTCTCTCTGTCTCCTCTTCTCCACCCTTTTGCCGCCATTGTCTGCCCTTTTTCCACCTGCATGGCGTCCTGCATCCGCGTATACAGAGAGAGATCCAAAAGCCAAATATTCTTTTGACGATTCAAATCATGTATGAAGAATACCATAAGCCGTTGTGATTTTGTTATTATGACAGTGAAAAAAGTGTGCCTCACTTCTCCACTAGTGTTGCCATCTAGACAAGACAAGACAAGAGTTCACCTACTCTTGTCTTGTCTTGAAATTTCAAGACAAGAGTTGTATACGCGTAAGTCTTGATTAAATAAGCTAAGTGCGGTCTTGTCTAGATAACGAAAGTCTAGATTCTTATTCAAGACTCTAGATAAGACGCTTAGCTTAAATTGCGTAGAAACAGTTAAGTGCATGCAAACTCCCGCTCTCTGGGTTGAAAATAATCAAGAGTTTTGAATAAGAGTCTTGTCTTGTCTAGATAATCTAGACAAGACATATTGATGATCTTGTCTTGATATTCTAGACAAGACAAGAGTCTAGAATGTATAAGTCTAGACGGCAACACTATTCTCCACTGACAAAACGAAGCTTATACTGGGTATAGAAAAGAAATATTACCAGATATAATTATGAACATAAAAAAATGGATATATACCTATACAGGGTGGGCCACCAGTAACGCCTCGGTCTCAAGAAGGCTAACCACTTATCTTCTTGGAATTCTTCCTCTCTAGGAAGTTCCATGTCAACATAGGCTACCATTTAAAATTATTTCGAAACATACAGGGTGTCCCCAAAAACCATAAAACACTGAAGTTAAACTTTTTTCTATCGAACACCCTATATATTATTTCATTTTGAGATTCTCCCTGGTGAGCTGATTTCAACAATCCATCATACTTGGGGTCTAGCGGTTATAATTACTGAGATATAGGGTGTGAGAAATCGAGATTTTTCAAGTTCAAGAATTTTTTGTGTCGAAACTATTCATAATTGGTCAAAACGGCTCACATGTCCCTAGCTATATGCCACGACGAACATACCTGTTGAATATCCAAAAAGAGAGCATGAAAAATCAAAATCCTCTGAAATTGAGAACCAACATTATCTCGCAAATCGAATAGAATAATATGATTTATTATGATACAAAAATATAACTTACCAATATGTTCAGTATTGAAATGAAAATTGAAATGTATAGGAGAAGTATACTTGTATGAACTCTGATCTAGATGAGCTTGGAACTTTCATTTGTATCAGTGATATAATAATAAATAAATAAATATCAAATCTTCATCAGTAACCAGTTAATAAAATAGTAATTTTTGTATCTAGAGCTCGAAATGCTACTTTGGTGATCGAGATCTGATTTTTTTCAACGAGGCGTAGCCGAGTAACGTAGGAAACTGAAAAAAGTGTCACTTCGCAATTTGTTTTCAATGCGCGATCCTTGTAGTAATTTTTTGACGTTTGTAGAAAAAAGAATTATTCCTATGTGTCAAATTTCATTTGACATCTACGCAGAATAGGTCGCAGGGTTCATCTCATCATTATATTACAAGCAACTACAATTTATGGAATTTTCCTACCCAATCTCCCACGCAGCAAAATTAATTTCCGACCAATTTTTTCTCGGAATCACTCATGTTTTTGTTGATAGAAATTTTCCTCATTTTCGACTCGGGATAATTTTCATTCGTGACCTTGGAATACATCATCGGTAATAATTCTGCTGCTAGGGAGATTATAAGTGATAATCCCAACTTCTCAGTCATAATTGATTACCTGCTTACGCAAAATTTCTCTATTTCCTCTCGAATATTGACCAAGAAAAAAAAATTTAAACAAAATCAGTGATTTCCAGTTATTTCTCAACTATCCCAGCAACGGCTGAAGTTTTTTCAAAGTGTAAAACGTCATATTGAGAAGGATCAAACTACGAAACTTTTGTCTAATTTGATCAACTTACCGTTCAGGAAATAGCAATTGATCTATTGAATCAGCGGGACCCTGATGTATAGCGGTCTAGATATATACAGGGTGAGTCAATAGTGTGTTCTCCTTCTACATTAGCCAAACCGTCAGATATATATAAAAAATTCGAATACAACAGTTATAGGGTTTCTTGGGAACTATCACCTAAAATTATTTTCATATCTATAGGATGTTCGAATTCCAAGATATCGGTTGATGATGAGTGTTTTCAAATTTTAGATTCTCCCTTACGAGCTGATGTCATCAATGTATCGCACTTGGGGACTGGCTGAAATGTTTATAAAGATATAGGGTGTTCAAAATCTATATTTTTCAACTTTGTGATTTTTTTGTGTTAAAACTAATTATTATTGGTCGAAACGGCTTACATGTCCCTATCTCAACTTTTGATTCACCATCTACTGACACTTAATTGGAACAAACACAAGGTGGTTCAAAATGCAAGATTTCTGATCACCCTGTATCTATTATAATTAGATTTCAGTAGATAGTGAATCAAACGTTGAGATAGGGACATGTAAGCCGTTTCGACCCATAATGTATAGTTCTGATACAAAAAAATTCCAAATTTGAAAAATTTCGATTCTGAACACCCTATATCTCTGTAATCATCCCCGCTAGACCCCAAGTGTGATGCATTGATGCTCGTCAGGAATAAATTTTAAATGCAATAATATACAGGGTGTCCCATTTAAAAACACCCATCATCAGCCGATATCTTGGAATTCGAACATCCTATAGATATGAAAGTAATTTTAGGTGATAGCTCTCATAAAATTTCTGTTTCGAATTTTTTTTATATACCTGACGGTTTGGCTAATATCGAAGGAGAAAACACTATTGACTCACCCTGTATAGTAGTTATACCAGTGGTCAGTTCTCACTCTTTTCCAGGCTACCTCCTCACCCGCGTCGAAGGCAAAATAGGCTCCCCGGAAAAACCTCTCAGCGACCTCGGTCTCATCTCCTACCGCTCCTACTGGAAGGACGTCCTACTCAGCTACCTCTGCTCGAGAGCTGGCACTCAGCTCTCGGTAAAAGACATCAGCCAGGAGATGGCGATACATTCCTACGATATAGTGTCCACTTTGCAAGCGCTGGGCATGATGAAGTACTGGAAGGGCAAGCACATCATCTTGAAGAAGCAGGATGTGTTGGATGAGTATGTGGAGAGGGTGAAAAAAAGGGGTAGTTTGTTGAAGGAGGTCGATCCTAGTTGTTTGAGGTGGACTCCTCCTCAGCCTGCGTCAGGTTGAATAACACTTTGAGGTTTTCTTCTATATCTCTCCTGGTATATCATGATTTATGGATAATGACGTTTCGTTTGTAAATCAAGCACAATCACATTTCTAGATTGCAAATGAAATGTCAGTATACTGACGGCAAATCGAGTAACTGGAATACTCCTAAAGTCTTTCATTGGACAGAACTGATGGCGTGTTGTTTCGTAATCGAGAGTATATCCATCTTTGTTTATTGCTTGAAAGAAATAAGGATGGATATACGCTCGATGGCATTGGGCGGAGCTTGTGTCTGCACTCGATAGTATTCCTATTCTTGTTCACTGCATACTGATGAAAGGGATGGCGATACACTTCTACGACATAGTGTCCACTTTGCAAGCGCTGGGCATGATGAAGTACTGGAAGGGCAAGCACATCATCTTGAAGAAGCAGGATGTTTTGGATGAGTATGTGGAGAGGGTGAAAAAAAGGGGTAGTTTGTTGAAGGAGGTCGATCCTAGTTGTTTGAGGTGGACTCCTCCTCAGCCTGCATCAGGTTGAATAACAGGTTTCCTCCTATATCTCTTATGGTATATCATGACTCATGGATAATGACGTTTCGTTTGTAGATCAACGACAATTACCTTTCTAGATTCCAAACGAAATGTCAGTATACTGAAGGCAACTCGAGGAACTGGAATATTCCTAGAAATTTTCATTGGGCAGGACTGATGGCGTGTTGTTTCGAAATCGAGAGTATATCCATCTTTGTTTACTGCTTGAAAGGAATAAGGACGGATATACGCTCGATGGCATTGGGCGGAGCTTGTGTCTGCACTCGATAGTATTCCTATTCTTGTTCACTGCATACTGATGGAAGGGATGGCGATACACTTCTACGACATAGTGTCTACTTTGCAAGCGCTGGGCATGATGAAGTATAGGAAGTGCAAGCACATCATCTTGAAGAAGCAGGATGTTTTGGATGAGTATATGGAAAGGGGGAAAAAAGGGGTAGTTTGTTGAAGGAGGTCGATCCTAGTTGTTTGAGGTGGACTCCTCCTCAGCCTGCGTAAGGTTGAATAACACTTCAAGGTTTTCTCCTATTTCTCTCTTATGGTATTGTTCTCCAATTGTTCGAAAATTGTTCTTATCCATCATTCGGTTGCCCCCTTACGAGCGACCCTCAGAAGTCTTCAAGAGACTTGTGCGAGCAAGAAATGACGGGGGGTCTTACCTTTCAACGTGTGATCCCAAACACATTCTTAGGCCATCAGAAAAATGTCTGCGGTCGTAGTGGGAATGGAACCCACCTACCGGCGATCCAACGTGGATAGAACATACCCGCTTTAACCACGAGGCTACGCTGACCACCTATATATCATGATTCATGGATAATGACGTTTCGTTTGTAACTCAACCAATCACCTTTCTAGATTGCAAACGATATGTCTGTATACTGAAGGGAAATCGAGATACTGGAATATTCCTACAGCTTTTCATAGAACAGAACTGATGGCATGTTGTTACGTTATTGAGAATATATCCATCTTCATTCAATGCCTGAAAGAAAGAAGGATGGATATATGCTCGGTGCCATTGAGCGGAGCTAGAATAGTGACTGCATTCTATCGAGTATTTCTATCTTTGTCTACTGCATACTAAATAAAGGGATGGCGATACACCCATACGACAATGAGATAGTGTCCACTTTGCAAGCGCTGGACATGATGAAGTACTGGAAGGGCAAGCACATCATCTTGAAGAAGCATGATGTATTGGATGAATATGTGGAGAGTTTGTAGAAAAGTTCCTTCCTTTCATTCTCCATCGTATATCAACATCAACCCATCACCATTCTAGACAAACTACCAGATAAGAAGCAATGTGAGGGACCGCGATATTCCTTCTGTTTCTCATTGGACAGAACTGATGGCGTGTATATCCATCTTTGTTTACTGCTTTAGAGAAAGAAGGATGGATATACGTTCGATGGCATTGGGCACAGCTAGTAGAGTGTTCGCACTAGATAGTTTTTCTATCTTTGTTCACTGCATGCAAGCAAAAGGGATAGCGATACACTCCTACGACATAGTGTCACCATTTTGAAGAAGCAGGTTGTTCTGGATAAGTATGTGGGGAGGGTGAAGAGGGGTAGTTTACTGAGGAAGGTTGATGCTAGTTATACAAGGTGGACACCTCCTCAGCCTGCTCAGGTTGAATGGGAATTAATAGTTATTTGTTTTACTAGGCAGACTAGCGTCTGTCGTTTCATAGCCAAGGCTAGGAAACCAGCCAAGGCATTGAATCTGCTTTTCTGCCATGTTGCGTCCAAAAATAACCCAACATTTTTGTGTTCACCCAAAATCATTGTCATTTTAATTTTGATAACCAATTTGATTCAAATTATTACTGGAATGTTGCACAGCAACAAACTTTTTTAGTCTAGGCAGTACTTTTTTTGCCTAGGCAGTATATTCTGCTTGAAAGAATTTGAACCACAAAAAGCGTGTTGTCGAATACTTCTTTCTTGTTTTTGTTATGCAAATTTTTGTTCTAGATAACGTATAGGTCACATTTGGTTATTCAATCGCGTGTTTTTTTAACGCCGTGATATTCTGCTATTGATTTTGACACAAAAAATTCATACGTACACGGTGACCTCATATTGAAACTCGATGTATCGAAATGCCATAGAAAAACATTTTATAGGTACATAAAATTAGCATAAGATAACGAAAGCGAAGACAATCATGTTTTTTGTGAAAAGCATAATTATTATAATGTACATGGTTAAGACCATCTGTCCATCGGCAGATTTCGATAAGATGTAAACTTAAATATTTTTTTTAAGTGGCCATTGGCAATAGGTGAAGACTTGTATTTATTATCAATGATATCTTGTAAATAGTTAATTTATTTTATCAAACAATCATTCTCGATTAATTTCTGTACAAACATGATATTTGTAATTAAATGATGAACTTTTCAGGTATGTTGCCAACTTTTTTATTTGAAATTTAATTTTCCCAAATCCTTTTAATTTTCCCAAATCCTTTTTCACTTTTTTACCTACCCGATATCACCGCATGTATTTACAGAGTGTACCAAGGAAGGATAAGAAGAGAAGGTATGTATTACATTTTTTTGAACATTCCAAGGTTATAAGCGTTTAGGAATTATTTCGTTCATAAACACACGAGTTTTTCGACATAAGGATGTGCTGACTGGACTTGTCGAGTACGTCTACTGGTATTTCTAGTGATGGAATGATAGCAGAGATTTCTGTAGAACATTTCCCGTGGAAGTATCTATGGAAAAGTGAAATGTCGCCTACTTTCCTTCGGTGTTTCAATGATGTCAAAGAATTAATGAGTGTGTCATCACCAACCACGTACCAGGTGAATGACTCATCTCTGGATGGAATCTAAGAGAATCATCGTATGTTTGAAATACGTTGGAACAGTGTTCTTTCTAAAGCAAGGTGTAAAGTAGATACGCCCGTCATAAAACTCCGAGTTTTTGCGAAGCAGCATTCGCGATGGATATGACTTTTTTTCACGGAAGAGTATTGGTGATGTTAGAATCTTGATTAAAAAATATATATAATATACAGGGTGAGTCATGACTAACCAGCCATAGCCTAACGACGGATAGAGAAAGTCAAGTTGAGTTGGTATATATGTGAAAAAATATTTTTTTCCTATTCGTAACAGAACATTATAGGGATTCCTTTTCGTGCGCTCCAAGCGATAAAAAAAAAAAATTCGGGGCGAAACTTTGATGAACGATATTTCAGCTACGTCTCCATGTTATCTACAGACACTATGGAAAAAATCCAGAGCCGGACTTGGGAAATTCATTTTCTTTATAAATGTCATAATTCCTCATATTGAGTACAATGTTTCCACATTTCCACATGTAGAAGCAGATTTCAATTGGAAATTATTTATGTTCATATTTCAAAGGTCTCTTCCAGAAAATCAAGTCCAGTCCTGGATTTTTTCATCGAATAGAGCCTCTTTAATGGATTTAAATGAATTTGTTCAACGATTTGACTGCAATGATATGCCAGTGCGAAATCCTGGAAACGTTCATCGGTATTTTGTTCGATATTTTTTTGACGATTTGGTCGAGGTGTGCCGTACAAAATGAAAAGCAAAACTTGTAATGTTTTTCCTAATCTTTCTGATTCTGATAAGAGTTTCTGAAAAATACGAAAGTCAAAATTATGACATTTATAAAGGAAATGAATTTCCCAAGTCCGTCTCTGGAATTTTTTCCCATAGTAGGCCATCTTATGGAGTGTTAGTAGAGGTGAGTTGCTAGTCATTTTCAGACGATAATATCGAGAAGTTCGTGAAATATCATTCATCAAAGGTTCGCCCAAATTCAAATAATGCCCTGTATTTCTGTTACGAATAGGCAAAATATACAGGGTTGGGCAAAAGTATGGAACCAGGTGATAATCTCGGTAATCGTTTGTTAGCTTTTTTTGATTATATGTACAGTGTGATTTCAAAACGTGGGGGATTTGAAACTGACGATAACAGTGGATTTGAAAATGCTATCGTCGATGTTGCCACTTGTTCAGTTATACGGGAATTATTATTAACTTCCTTATTTTGAATAGAACACCCTGTATTTTATTGAATTTTCAGATTCTCCTTGAGAAACTGATTTCATCGATTCATCACACTTGGGGTCTAGCAAGAATGATTACTGAGATATAGGGTGTTCAAAATCGAGATTTTTCAACTTTAGGATTTTTTTGTGTCAAAACTATTCATTATTGATCAAAACGGCTCACATGTCCCTACGTTAACTTTCGATTTACTATCTACCGACATTTAATTGAAACAAACACAGGGTGGTTCAAGATTCAGAAATCTGATCACCCTGTATTTGTTACCATTAAATATCAATAGATAGTAAATCAAGAGTTGTGATAGGGACATACATGCTGGTTTGACCGATAATGAATAGTTTCGACACAAAAAAAATCCTAAAGTTGAAAAATCTCGATTTTGAACACCCTATATCTCAGTAATCATACTTGCTAGACCCCAAGTGTGATGAATCGATGAAATCAGCTTTTCAGGAAGAATCTGAAAACTCAATAAAATACAGGGTGTTCTATTTAAAATAAGGAAGTTAATAATAATTCCGGAAAAACTGAAAAAGTGGCAACATCGACGATATCATTTTCAAATTCACTACGTTTTGAAATTACCCTGTACATATATTCAAAAAAATGTAACAAACGGTTACCGAGATATTCACCTGGTTCCATACTTTTGCCCAACCCTGTATGTTTCCACATACATATCAACCCACCTTGACTTCCTCTATCTGTCATTAGGCTATGGCTGGTTAGTCATGACTCACCCTGTACATAGTTTCTTCGCAATTGCTGACGAACTGTTATTTTTTGTGAAATAGGTATGTAGGTAGGTATTGGTATTTGTTGAAACGTTTGCGTACGCCACTGGTTTCGTTCGATACGCGACCACTCGATTGATTTGCATAATTCGAGCGAGCAGTCCTTTGTTTTTTGTTTGCCGAAAGAAAAACCCGCTTGTTTTTATTCGCGAGAACGAAAATTAACTCGACAAATATAAATCATACGTGTCTAGACTATCGAAAAAAGTCTTCAAAGGTCCATGCCACCGACATAGAGATCCGTTTCACGATGTATTAGATAGATTCTATTCTATGCAGAGGGTGTTTCAGAAATAGGTGTATTCACCAAGAAATTCCCAGATAGGCCCAAGATCATAATATACAGTTATTTGGAAGCCGCCATCTTGAATTTATAAATTTTAACAAAAAAATCATGATCTCCAACCTTAAAAACCCCTACTTACCAATTTTGAATGAAATCGGACCAAATCTTGTCCGCCATCTTGGAGCATCCATTTTTTTTTAATTTCAACAAAAATTCCATAATGTATTGTCACCAAAATTATGAACACCTGCCAAATTTCAAGTTAATCGCAGTTATGGTGGACAAGATTTGGTCCTATTTAATTCAAAATTGGTAAGTGGGGGTTTTTAAGGTCGGATATCATGATTTTTTTGTTAAAATTTATAAATTCAAGATGGCGGCTTCCAAATAATTTTTTGTTTTTGTATAAATGACGATAACTCCGTTGTTATCAACACAAAACTACTACTGCGACACATCATCTGTAAGAGAAAAAAAAGTAATTTGTAACTAAGACATTGTGAGCTATGACCTACATTTGAAAAACTAAAGTTGGTGCTGATATCTCAGATTCTAGAAGAGTTGGTATCAATTTCATATTTTTTTCGAAATCACTTTGAAAAACTGCCATGAGAATGTGGAATTCCTATTCGAATATTTCCATAAATGAAGAAGTTACGGAGGAGACATGAAACTGATCAAAATCTGTTTTTTGCGTATAAAACAAAAACGAATAGATTTTATCAAAATATTTTTTCACATGATAGTTGGCCTTGACAAACTCCACATTTGGTGTCATTTAACCGACCTCCTATCTCTCACCGTTAAAAAGATACCCATAGTGAGCATGGTAAGTGGGACACACTGTGTAACAAACAAAATCGATATTTACTAGAAAGACTAGAAAGAGTCGAAAAATTAAACAAAATATCGGATGCACAAGAATGATTTTCCATTTCAATGGGAGAATTCCTTCAGAAAATTCGTTGTTTTTTTTTTCGATATATCTACAGAGTGACACACTTGAGATGAAGACACTCCTGTATTTTGACCCTATTCATATTGAATTTCTACGAAAGAATTCGATTTGTTTTTGTA